CATTTGGGTGTGCCCCCTAAGTACGGCATGGTGGAGTGTGTTTTGTCCATATACATTCATGACGTGTGGATCAGTGCTGAAGTTAATTAAAATCGATGTGCATTCTTTATGGTCCCGCTGTACAGCCTGTGATTATTGTACACAGAAATAAATTATCAATTCAAGGAATCCAAGATAAGCATTCAAATATGTCACCGAATAATTATCCTTAAGTGAAAAAAAATTTTATTCTATTTACCCCTTCTTTTGAGACAGGATATGCTTAGGTAACCTCAGCCTTGCCTCAATTCAAAATCTTCCTGCCTCGGGCTCCCACGATAGGATTACAGGTGTGTGTCAGCACACCTGCATAGTATTTTCAAATATTTCATTTTTGAAAATTTCATACAGGAACAGTGTATTTGCATTATTATCACTCCTTGAATCCCTCTCCAACTTCTCCTGTATCAGCCCCATCCTCTCAATTTCTTCTCCTCTTTGTTACATATACATCATATACATACGTATATGTGTGTATGTATACACATACCAAGACCATGTAGTGGAGGTGATTTTGTGTATCTGTGTTTAGGCTTACCCACTTGGGATCAGATAACTTATCATGGACTTAGTCCCTAGAAAAAATGATTCTTCCTTCTTCAGCATCCATTGATTGCCTACAATTCATATTTGGAGGTAGTATTCCATGAACCTTCCCCAACCTTGGCACAGCAAGTGGTTTTGTCCTCATGCAGACCTGATTAGACTGCAATACATGGGAAACCTCATTGGTGTAAATTCCCTATCATATCTAGAATGCATTAACTAGCAGAACACACCTAAATATTCTAATATTTTAATTCTAATCCATCTCAACTGAAACTGTTGGCCATTATCTACCTTAATTAGGGGTGTGCTCTTCTCATCATCCCGGGCATTTATATTGCAGTGTTTCTTGATGAGTAAACACACCACACCGGGATGGTCATGGGTAGAGGCGTAATGCAGGGCAGTCCTGTGGAAAGGAGAGGGGGTTTTAGGAACTTGGAGAACTAGGTCAAAGAACCTTCATCCAGAAAATTCTAAGTATTAGATAGCAGGTAATGAGTTCTGAAGAAAGGGAAGCCTTTGGAATTTCCTTATTTCTCTACTTTTGTATTTATTCAAAGTAGTAATGATACAGTGCATGGCCTTCCCCATTCAAGGCAAGTGCACTACCAGTGAGTTGCCTCCATGCTAGACCAGCATGTCTGAATAAAAGGAGCAATTGAAAATAAAATTTCAATTCTACTGTAATCTCTGTTACCTACTCCCTACTTCTCAGGCACCTAGGAGCTCAGTGACAATGGGGATCAAAAATAGTAGCCATCTTTCAGAATGCAACTCTCCTACTTCAATGAGATTCTACAGAAAGTATACAGAACTGAACCTAGCACCTAAGAGTTAGCTCATAATATGGTAGGAATTACTATTCCTACTGCCAACATAGTGTTTCAATTGGGTGAAATCACAGAATTATACCTACTTTGCAGATACAACATTTTTGTATTCAAGTAAGTTTTTGACCTCTTGAACTAAGAAAGGGTTAACTATATTACCCAGGCTGGACTAGATCTTGAAATCCTCCTAATTCAGCCTTCTAATAACTGCAGGTAAGTGCCACTATGCCTGCTTTTAATGCTATTTATTTCACATGCTACCACGTGGTCAATAAAGAGCTCTAAAAGAGGTAACATAAACGAATTGGAAACCAGCTGGCTTTGTTTTTGTTTTGCTTCTCGTAAAGAAGGCCTGAGCGTAGACTCCTCCAAGATGTACCAGTTCCGAAAACCTAGAAGTCTGAGCCGGGAAGAAAATCCAGCAGTGTTGGGAAAGCAGACCCCCATTCTCTTCCACCCTCCCTCGGAGAACTGGAGCGCCTGCCATGTGGTCCTTGCCTGTCTCAAACTGCCCCTCCTTCTCCTAGCCTTCTCCTCTCCTGGGCCCTATTACCTGTCTCTCTTGACCGTTAGATCCACGTGATATTCCGACCAAGTGAGTAAACGCTGCACTAGAGCTACAGCGCCTGCACCGGCAGCCCTGTGGAGCTTTCCCACAGGATGATAACTGATGAGGTATCTAGGCAGTTCTCTTCTTCCACAATGTAAAAACCCACAGCCCCTGAAGGCCCTACCCAAGTGGGTATGCCACCTGGTATTGCGGGTGCGACTGTGAATCTGGGCGTCGTTGTCAACGTCCTGCATGACGACGGCCTGGGCGGCCCTCGCTGCCTTCCCTGCCCTCCTCTTTCTCTGTTTACTGCCCCCCAAAACTGAAACTTTGACTTAAAACCAACCAAAACTCGCCACTGTGCCACAGGAATATCCCACCAGGGATGGTCTGTGGATCAGCAACTAACCACAGTGAACGCTGTCACCTAGCAACGCCCTAAACAGAACTCTGCGTGGTAAGAGCCTCTGTGTTCCATTGTTCACAGATTTCGTCACAAGCAGTCCTGCTGAGTACACGTGTAAGCCGCAGACGCCAATGACAGGAGCCTAGCCAATGGCACTCGGCACTCAAATGCAAAGCTCTGCGCATCCATCCCAGTACCAGAGCAGATGCGCCTTGCCTGGTCAAGTCAGTGCAGGGTACAGATGTTTTAGCGTTAGGGTTAGGGTTAGGGTAGGTTCAGGGTCAGGGTCATTGCCCATTACTTTGCGGTTGATTTTTCTGGAGTCTCTCCTACTCTCTAATCCACTTTGTAAGACAGTCAAGATGTAAGACTGCCTTTTGTAAGCTTCTGAAACATCTCATTTTTCTTGTTCTTCATTCTCATTGTGGAAGTAAATGGGCTATCAATGACATATTCATGTTTCCTAGGTCTTTGTTCTGCCTGCCAAAAAATATCATTGGTTCATTAAGATTAGATTAAATAGACTGGAGAGATGGCTCAGCAGTTAGGAGCACTGACTGCTCTTGCAGAGGACCCAGGTTTGATTCCTAGCACCCATGTGGTAGCGAGCAATCCTCTGTAACTCCAGTTCCAAGGAATCCGACACCCACTTCTGACCTCCATGGGCACTGCACAACACAGGTGCACCTACTTACATGCAGGCATTGCACTCATACACATAAAAATAAAAAATTCTTAAAAAGATTAGGTTAAATGTGAATAACATAATGCCACTGCAAATAGTTCAACATTGGCAGTTGGGTTTGTGTAGCTACCTGTTAAATTCTTTCAACCTGATAATCTAAATTATGCCATCTAGATCAAATTTATTAGTTTTTGTTTTTTGAAGAGCAAATAAGCAAAATTTATGGAGACGTAAAGAAACATCTCACCTGCTGCTGGAAGGAGGCTGAAATATGACTTGCCCCAAATTCACTGCTCTTTTAAGACACCAAGACAAGTCTACGAGTGTGTATCTGCCTGCATCTTCCAGTCACATTTTCCATGCATATTTCCCACTCAGGTTTGGTCTTACTACCCACTTATGCTAACCATACCACCAGCAGCCATATGCTAGTTAAAGAGCTCAAGAAAATTAGCATTCATACTACTTTTAAACTCAGCATCAGCTAAATTGTTTTTTGTTTTTGTGGTTTTTTTTGGGGGGGGTACTGGATCGAAAATTCAGATTGAATCTGGCTTTTCATTTCTGTACCCTTCATGGTGGTTTATCACTATTAATCAATCCAATGCCCAAGTCTACTCACTGAGGACAGAATAAAGGGTAGAAATGACATTAAAAACTGCACTGATAGTTCCTTAGGTGAGCAAGGCAAAGCTTAAGAGTAGCACTGCAACATTAGCTACTTTAAAAATGTCTCTGTGTATCAAGTCCACTGAAGGCACTTGCTACGCAGACTACTTGGGCTGATCATTTTGTACTGTACAAATGTATATGATTTGAAGCAGCTGTCTTGCTCTTCTTGTTTGGTGTTGATTTTGTTTCTGTCTTACTTTCTGATCATTCTGGGTCTGGCTCCTGCTCTGAGTTGGTGAAAATTTCACTGATTAGCTGATATTAATACTTTGTGCAAATGTTGGTCATGAGCGACTCTGCAGGGATTCTGAAAACCTTTTTAGGAGAATGGAGAAAGTCAATGCCACAAAGTGATCAACAGAAATTAACTAAAGTCAATAGGAATAAACAGACTCTAGTCTCCAGCTCCTTCAACAGATATGTGCATGTTAGGAGCAGATGGGAAAGGACATTTGAAAACCATTTTTCTTATACTTTCTTTTAATAAAAATAAAATTTGTGTTTACTATTTTA